TTAAAATCTTTCCCATTCTCCTATCTCTACTTACTGAAATTATACATACCCTTCAAAGCCCAGATCAACAATATATACCTAGCTTAAAGGATAATACTTGGCTCACAGTACACATGAATTAAATATGTGCTCAACGACTGGGTGATGAAATCATCATTGTTCCCAAATCACAAATCTGCTTCATATTACATGTATGAAGTACCTGCCCCATCCTCCCTTGAAATAAAGGGCCTATCCCCACAGTGCCTCCTAATAAGCACTGAAAACATATTTGTAGGATGAATAATTTCAATAACCTAAGATTAGCAGAGCTGTTAAACAATATTTCATCTTCTACTTTTGACTTTACAGTGATTTGGCAGAACAAAATGTCTAGAAAGCTCAAAATATTATTTAGACATGAATTATATTTAATATCGAACATTAGGTCTTCCACAAAATCTCTCTCAACAATGGAATTTATCTTTGTATTTAATTTCTTAGATGGTTTAATTTTAATTTTTAATACTTCTGAATCACTTTTCTGCACAATAACTTCTAAACTTAAATACCAGTGAAGATAAATTATTTTAGAATATTTTTAGAATATAAAAAGGAGTCTTAATTAATGAACTGGGCAACCTAAAAAAATTATTTGGTACCTCACCTTCCTAAAACTAAGATAAATTATGAAATGTAAATTGTATTTTAATTTCAATTAATGTTCATGATACTATGTTTGGAGTCACGCCTCAAGCCACCACTGGAGAATTTGTCATGCAATTTGTTACAGGAAAAAAAAAAAAACCTGGATTAAATCTGGGTCATTCCATTTTTCAGATCAGAGAAGGCCAAGTGCAAATGCAGAAAGAGGCTTTCAAAGAAAATGTAAAACTGTTACATAGGAAAAAAAAATTCCTCGTCACTATATAGTAGTACCTGTAGGAAAAGCAGCCCAAGGAATGGCAGGAGATGTAGTTTGGGTTTCACCATTTCCACCATCAAAAATCTCCGCAGCCTAGAAAACAAAGATAAAATAATTTTAGGAGAAGTTAAAAATGCCATTTAAGCTATAAAGCATCTCACTTCCATAAGCATACTCTCTGTAATACACCACACATCCTCAGATTCATTCTGAACACTGAATTACTCTTCATTTTTCACTGCTATGACCCCCACCACTACCCTCCATCCCAGCATTCATGCTCTACTATCTTTAAGTAAAAGTTTTCCTTCCTTTCTCAAATACATGCCCTGCCAGGGAAATTGTTATTTTTTATATATCCTTAATCACATTTATACTTTTATACTTTATAGCCCAGTACTCTAAACTAACTCACTATATTTACCCATATATACTTAAAAAATCATTTTTCTTAAAAAATCTAGAGAAAAAATCATTTTCATTAATTAGCACAAGACCTAACTCAATGTCAATCTAAAAGAAACAGGATTGATCTATATTCTTGAATAATCTACCAGCTCAATTTAACTAGCATTCAACATTTAGAGTATCCCTAAAGCTGACATTTTAAATTAACAGGTCCTCATATTAAACAGTGTTAGAAGTACGGGACAGTCAATTACTGAGTATTGAGTTTGTGGGTAAGAGTACAGAGTTTTCTGTCTCTTAACTGTCCAAGTCACAGCAAAACTGTCACTGAAAACAAGAGCCAGAATTTCAGTTTGAATTCTGCACTGAGTTGTTAGCCAAGAAACAGTCATGGGGGCAAATCTGCCACAGGAGCTAAGGTACAGAGAATACAGTAGCTACTCTCTGCAAACTATGAAAAATGAACATGGTTTATATAACCAGGAAGAGAGACCTTTCACATTTCTACAACAGGATATGGAAAGAAAGAAATCTAATAGTCACAGTGAGGTTGGAATGGTTGGTTAACACTGAACCTATATCACACTGAAAGGAATAGACCCATAAGATTAAAACACTGAGGTATACTGTTACTCTAACAAGCACTGCCTATCCACTCGATTTTTTATCAAGCATGGTTTTAAATAAAGGACACTATACTAAGTTTTAGCCTGCAAATAACTGACTTCTAAATAATAAACTGAGATGGTATCTGAAACATATATTTTCTTCAGAATGGAAGAAATCTTAACAGAATTTTAAATGTTATGTTTCAGTAATTAAGATGCCATCATCCAAAAATCAAAATATTAGGAATGCAGAAATAAAGGAAATGCAGAAAATCTACAAATGTGCTAAACAAAACCAGTTTCAGATGAAAATGCAGAAAGTATGTTCATATTTTAAACATCTCCATGACAGATATTCAAGATCAACAAAAGAGAAAATGATCCTACCCTTAAAAAACTCACACCTTTCTTTCAGAACACTGAATATATACTTAGTATCTTATTTCTCCTATTAACACATTCATTATACTCTATTTTTAACAATCTCCTTTTTACCAATTTCCAAACTAGGTGAAAGCCTTACTGAGAAAAAAAAAAAAATTTTTTTTCCCTATTCACACAGCTCACTTGATGGTAGTTCCAGGACTTGAGCTCAGGCATCCTGACTCCTAATCCAGAGATTTTCCTGCAAAATTATACTGGCTCCATAAAAATGACTGGTTACAAATATTTCAATAAAATGAATACACACTGAAAAGTACTGAGGAAAAGATAGCGCTTCCTCAGCTAACAATTTCCATTTACAAGCATCCAACTCAAACCTGAGAGAACAATGTAACACCACAAACATACTGTAGCTCTGCAAACCACCAAAAGACTATGTAGGTAACAAACTTTATACATCAGGCTTATTACAGGTGTAGACACGAAAATGTGGCACAAATCTTCAACACCCCTCCCTCATCTCACCAGTATCTCCTAATAGACATATATCCCAGTACAGTCATCTGCTGACAATTTTTAAGACCTCTTTAGTGCTTCCACTAGTAGTAGCATTTAATTAACTCAATTTAAATCATTCTGACAGGCATGTTCAATAATAATAAATCGGTTTTAACTTTCGGAAAGCATGTATGTTAACTGTCCGTGACTTCACTTGTTTTATTCCGGAGTTACATTCAAAATGATCAGAATCACGAACATCAATGACCAACAATACACCTTCAAAATAGTGCACTCCATCATGATTCCACAAAGCCAAACTGCTGACGAAAACTAAATAAGGTAATAACAGTGCATACCTCAAAACCACCAAAGTCGTCATCATCCATTTTTCAAATTCACCTGAAAAATAGCAGAAGACATTGAAAGAGGCCCCCACACAGAGTCATTTATTTACATGTCAAAACACTTCTCTGACTTAAAATATATACCTTTTGATTTGTTAATTAAAACTATTTTTGTTTGGGTTAAAAAACAGGTTTTGACTATATGTGGATGCATTTTTTAACACAAAGACTGGGGGGGTTTTTGGTTAAATTAACCATTCTGGCAAAATGAGCAACTTGTGTGACTTTTTCAGCAACCATGTATTTTGCCATTTTATGTTGAGATGCCAGGAGTGGAAAAATATTCTTTTACATTTTAATTTGCTTTCCCCAAATTGGCGCTAGGGCTCAATTCAATAATGCTTCCTGCTTTTTGCATCTTTTCCTCAGTTGTCTGGCAACATCAGCACAAACTCCAGCGAAGAACAGGACTGTGGTGAATTTTTGGAAATCTGTCCCCCACCACAAAGGTTCTTCCCTCGGTTTCATGGCCGAGGTTGATTTAGATTTTCAAAATTGATCAGCATTTTTGAGCTGTGGCCACAACTTCTGGAGCATTTTGATATGTGTATTTTTAGCTGAAACTGCTTTGCACTTTTGGAAAAATGTGGAGCAAGTTACTAGGCTGATCAAGATAAATCAAGCCATGTATTCATGGGAGACCAAAGAGGAGAAAAACACAAGTGAATACCCAGAATTCCTCTCTTCTTTTTGCCCTTAAACTATGTGAGAGACAAGCAGTAGGATAATATATGCTTTATTTTGTCCTAAATGTATGTCATAAAAATAGGAGAAAACCATGAGTACCTGGGTTTTAAGAAAAGAAGATAAAGGAGAAGTTTTTAATCTAAACCATAGAAGAACTAAAAACCTGAAAAGGTTAAACAATAGATGGTATACATTAAAATGAAAAATTAATTCACAATAAATTGTGAAGCAGTAGCTTCAAGTGATACTCTGGTCAGTAATAACTGGTTTCCTTTTCTATCTTTCAAAAGTGAACATACCCAAATATTAATTACAGTCTCTTTGACTCACTAATACAAGATGGATTTGATTACAGGAAACAATCTTCTCCAACTTCTAAAAAAAAACAGCTAAACAAATTAAACCATATGTTAGGCAATAATTCTAAAGGCACTTTCTGGGGCATTTTGCTGTGAGTGAGAAAGCAATAGTAATCTATAGCCATATTTTGCCCTGTCAATGAAATTAATACTATAATGCCTTCAAACATAACTCAAAAAATAGTCAAAGAAAAACACAGTAAAAAACATCTCAAGGATTGTTTTAATAGGCAAAGAAAATTTATTTTCATAGAAATTCACTAGGTAATGACACTATAAAAGAAGTTATGTAGACAGAAATACATTATAAAAAGGAAGGACATTAACCAGAACATGATACAAGTATTGTCACCATTACCACAATTTCACTACCTGGTAAAAATTTTTTAAAAGATGTATTTCTCCAAAAATCAATGCTAAGCAAGTCATTCACATACAACACTTAAAAATTCAAACCAGACTTTCAAAAACTTCTTATGGTGGTTAGTTGGAAATGGAATTCACATTAATTTTGTATTGCAAGCAAATAGAAATCTGTATGTGATTATGTTTTTTCATGAAGAAATTATGAAATAAGAGTGATATGGATACTGAGAATTAACCAAGTCAAACTATAAACACCAAGTTTGTCTTGCCCATATGTATCCCATGAATCTCAGGAGACAATTAAACTGTATTTTTAGCATCTACAAACACTGTACCCAAATATACGGTTTCAAAAGAATGAAATTTCTAGGGTAATGCTTGTATGTGTTTTTGTAAGTCACATCCCAGTAAATTACTTGTAAGGTGTCAGAAAATCGGAAAACAAAAGCAAATGCCTGTGCTTAACAATAATTCCAGCTTCTTCACCTGTGGTGATGAACTAATGCCATCGGTTTCGTAAGTACTGATTCAGCTCTACAAAAGAACATATTAATGATGGCTATTTTCTCTACCCTGCAATTTTACATATTGAAATACAGGTAACAGTCTTCCTCTACATTATTTTCAAATAAATATTAATACATTAGAAAAGACAAATGTCTCCTTGGTTTCCTAATAACCATAATTATTTTAAAGCAAAAACCTTCCTTCAAATAATTAAGTTTCAAATCCTACAATAGTTTGTTTCTTTCTGAACATTTTAAAGCACAGAAGGAAGGAAAATTAACAGTACTGATTTGTAAAAGTCAACTTCACAAAATACAAATTCTAAAAATCAGTTTTTAAAAGGAAATATTACAATGTGGGCTTCTTTACAGCTTTAGCTACTCCAATACATCTAAAACATTATTTTATCTATACAATGCATTTATAAAATTTTTAGAATATTTCTAGCACTCAACTACAAGAATGCCATAAAACTACAGATACAATATAACATCACCAAATATGTCTGTTATCTAAGTTACAGAATCATGAGCCTCGCCAAAAAATTGCAGATCATGTAGTTCATTCTTTCAGGGCATGACAAAAAATGAGATGTGTATTTTTCTATGATTGGGTATCTAAATTGAAAGATTTCATAATTTCTAGCTTTTACAATTCTTGGACTTCTTTCCATCTGAATTTAATCTTTTTTGTTGCACTATTGTATCAATTCTCTCCTTTATTATCCTCAGTATCAATATGCTACTGATATTTTATAAGAAAAACATAGACAGACAATGCAACAAATTTTTGTTGAGCAACTCTGTAGACAAAATCACTCAAGGGTCCTCAAGGAGGTCTGGTTTGGGAGGGAAAGCAAGAGTGCATGAAAAGCATACAGATACAAGTAATATGAGAGATGAGACATGAACGAACCTATATAAGAAGAAAAACATCCAGTGTGGGAGGAGAGATTTCCAGACAGTGTTATATCTCACTGGAGCTAAAGTAAATGCTTCAGGTAGGAGGAGACATTTGAGATCTATTTCAACAAACCTAACAGTTTTAGATGATCTTTAAGAACATGCATTTTATTCAAGTATTTTGCTCAAAAGGTCCTCCTAAAAGACACCAAAGATTTGTTTTGACTGTTTACTTCTGCATAAACATAGAGTCAAACAAATATGAAATGTGAAAACTACAAAATAACTGAAATCAAATACAAGGAGATGAATCTGGACAGTGCCAGTGGGCAAAATGAGAATCAATGCATGTTTGTATGAGAGAATCCACAAAAGGCTCATGGGCAGCACTGCAAAGTTGGGTAAAGGTGAAACTCAAAGTAAAAGTTGCAGATATATCCCCAAATCCCCTCCTAGAATCTGCACAACTGGGCACCTTACAACTCCTCATTGTAACAAAAGACTGCATGTTTACTCCCCAGACAGGGTAAAGCTAAGGGTCTCTGGACACTGAGACAGGTGAACTAAGTCTAAGTTGTATTAATGCTGACACCCACTGCCCCAGTCCTCTTTCAGCACTCAGCAACCAGTCTGCCAGCAGCTAGGCTTCAACCTCTAGTCAGCATATTAGGTTCTTCTCTGGACCCTGTCAACCAACCCATAACAAAGGGCCTCATCAGAGGTTCCAAAGATAAACAGCTCACTCAGGTAATACTACTTTAACAAACCCTACCCACTGCACATAACTTCCAATTTGCCCCTGATTTCACTAAAGGCAGAAGAGTATAAAGGTTAAAAGGACCGTTAAAAGAATCAGGCTCCCTGGATTCAAATTCTATCACTGCCACTTATCAAATGCATTACACTGGGCAAGATACTAAAACATACTGTGCCTCAGTTTCCTCATGTCAAGTAGGGATGATAATAATGGTAACGTAACTCCTGAAGTCTTTATGAGGATTAAATAAAATAGATTAGGAACTTAGAACAGTATCTGACACATTCTATGTATTATATAAATATTTGTTTTTCATTAATTTATTAATAGTACCATACTGTTACATATGAGCAGACTGCAAAGATGTGAAGGAAGTGCCTAATATGAAAAGCAAAGACCAAAACAAAACAAAAAAACCAAAAAGATGGAAGAAACTGAAACTACACAGAAGAGAAATTCTTCAAAGAAATAAAAAAAGCTATAATACCTTTAGAAAGGTAACAGAAGATAGTTCATCAGGAAATAAGAAGAGCAAACCTTACTTTACTTACTTTACTCACTCATTTATTTATTTAGGAGGCAAGGGGCAGAAGGGAGGGGTGCACCAAGACTAAGTTTTGAAAATAAAAAATGATTGCCAAAATGAGTAACTGCAGGATGGAAAATAAAGCTAAGGAAATCTTCTTTAAAAGGAAAAGTATTTTTAAAAAAGAAATAAAAAATCAGAGTACAAACATAAGAAAATTACAAGATCCAATCCCCAGAATGTGCAGTATCTAGTTATTAGGAATTCTAGAAAGACAACAGAGAAAACAAAAATGAAGAAATCATCAGCAAAATAATTCAAGAAAATTTTCTAAAACTAAAGGATATGATTCCCAGACTTGACTATTCCTCAAGTATCCAAGAAAAGAGAGGTAAAAACCCACACTAAAGCACAGCAGAGACAAGAGAAGATCCTACAAGCTTCCAGAGAAATAAACGGGTTTCATACAAAAGATAAAAAAATATAAGGACATTAACTTCAGAACAGCATTATTGGACAGGGAAAGAAATAGAGCAATGTTTCTGAAGTTGTCACGGAAAGTGATTTACAACATAAAATTGTAAAATCAGCCAAACCAACAAGTAATTAAGTTTAGGAATGAATAAAATCATATTCATACCTGCGAAGTCTAAAAAAAATACATATTTCCCAAACACTCTTTCCTAAAAAGCTATGGAGTAAACCAAAGGAATAAAACATGAGAAAGATAGGATTAGGAAACAGCAAATAAAGTAGAAAGCAAAGGGAATTCTCCCAGAATATTTGTTGAGTAGGTTCCTAAGATACCTAAGTAGCAAGAATAGAGAACAAGCAATCCTAATTAGAGCAGATCCGAGAGCTCTGGGGAGATGCATTCAAGCAAATGAAATT